CCCCAAAACCCCAAAACCCCAAAACCCCAAAACCCCTTTATAACTGGATAGCATTGCAACTAATTAACTAAAATGATCAACCAAATTTTCTTTATGCTCCTGAAATACTTTCTGTATCTTCTATGAGCATTTGTTATATGGCTATTGTACCTCTATGTAGTCAAACCAATTTGGTAAGTTTCAGACACTCTCCCTTAGTGATTTAGAATCTTAAGTTCAGTTTTTAAATTTAGTTGAATTGCATGGAATGGATGCAGTTTCATATTACTCCTAATAAAATTTTCATAACTAAAATTAAAAGTTGAACAGCGGTCTTACAGGCCTTATAACCCTACTGTACAGAAAATTTAAGTTAACTTTGGAGATATTTCACATCCTTCGTTCACACGTAAGGCCTCGTGTAAAATACACTTTGAAAATTTAACTCTTCGTTTTGTAATTTCTGACATAACACTTTATCATAGATGGAGATGGCACTACTCTAAATACAAAAATGTATGGGTGAGCCCGAGGTTTGTTTTCTTCTTTGGAGATTCATGGGATAACATCAAGAACATCATGAATGGGAAAGTCTTCTACGATCATCACAGGCATATCGCAAAGGAGGTCTGTAAATGAGATTTCAAACTTGAAATGGTGGGAACGAACCCATTCATAAAGGTTATTTCCTACGAAGCCCAAGCTGGACTTGAAGCTTTAGCAACTGCAAAAATTGATAGAGGAAGAGAATGGATTGGAATTGGGAAAGTCATTGGGCATAGCTTTGGAATGTCAAGAAGTACTTATAAAGCAATGTATAGGAGGAAGGTTATTCTTAACATGCTCAGTTTAAATGCAGCTTCTAAGTACATTCCATTAATGTACGACTGCCTCAAGCATGAGATTGGAGAATGGGAAGTCGGTAAAACACTCGACTCTGTGTATGAGATGAATGTTCTCACTTTTGGATTTTTCACAGTGGTATTCTTCGGCCAAGATACACTTCAAATTTCGAAAAGCACGATTCCCTTTGAAGAAGATGATGGCCGAATTGTAGACAAAACTATGATGGACTTTCTCATTGCCACTCTCAAAAATATCTTCCAAGGATTAATTCACCCAATTGCCTCACTTGCTCCATTCCTTGCTGAAAATGATTTATGAAACCCTTACAGAAGGAATAAAAGAAACTTATTAGAGTTTCAAGCTTCTTTAAGAAAGCTGATAGATGAATCTAAAGATGAGGACTCTATTTGTAACAAATTGATCCAAGATCCCAAGATCAAATATGAAGAACTATTTATTGATGTCTTAGGGTTCTTAGCAGCCGGAACTGAGACAACCTCCCACACTCTTGTCGTCATTTTGTATCAACTGAAGAAAAATCCTAAATGTCTCAAGAAATGTATGGAAGAATTAGAGAGACATGGGTTCACCGATTTAGACAATAAGGAAATTTATAATCCTGAAAGCATTGAGAAGCTCACTTACATCACTTATGTAGTCAAAGAATCTCTCCGTATTGATTGTCCAACTTACCAATCTCTTGAATATGCTGCTTATGAGGATGTAGAGATTGCTGGAGTCCCATTCAAAAAGGGAACTACTTTCTTTAAGGACTCTTCTATTATTCATTACGATCCTGAAGAATTCTTCGAGCCACTAAAATTCATCCCAGAGAGATTCGACCCAGAGCACAAATACTTCTTTAGACCTTCTGATGGAAAGGCAAGAAGACCATACAGTAATGTTCCGTTCTCTTATGGTAGCAGAGCTTGCCCAGGACAAACATTCGCGATGCTTGAGCTCAAGGTAACGTTGGCTTATATCTTGACCCATGCAGAATACTCTATTCCAGAAGATATTTTGAAGAGCGAGACAATTGGATTCGCAATTGGATCAACATTTGAATGCCCACTCAAAATAAGTAAGGTTAATAAGTAGACATCTTTCCAACACAGATATTATTTTACAAGCTTGATTTCAAGCTGTTTGTTAAGCCTAGGGGTTTTGGGGTTTTGGGGTTTTGGGG